GGGAGACGGGGGGCAAAGCCCCCCATCCCCCACACTTGAACACGACTTAGCAATGTCACACAGCTGAACACTGGACCCGAGCACAAAACGAGATCTTGAGCTTGAGAGAGTGATTGATTGAGAGATTGATTGTGAGAGAGTGTGAGAGAGAGAGAGAGAGAGAGAGAGAGAGAGAGAGAGAGAGAGAGAGAGAGAGAGAGAGAGAGAGAGAGAGAGAGAGAGAGCGGGGACGTCAACTACCAACGGCGTTGCTGCAGACTGCAGGGTGGGGGGCGTGGTGGGAGCACGGCCCCTGAATGAACGACTGTTGCTGTGCAATTTCGAAACCGGTGGCGACCATACGAAAACGCAGTGCACTGCTACCAGCCCGAACCGAGTCTTGCCAGAAACCAAAAACAGGAGGGCCTGCTACCGTACCTGCTCCCAGGCCAGGCCAGGCTACGCGGTACCACTAGCCCAGGCCTCCTCCCATTTTTGCCAATTATCGAAATGGTAGGCCGTCGAATGCGCCTTTCTTTCAGTTCGTAACTGCTCCTCGCCCAATCTTGCAGTGGGCTGTTATTTCTGCAAATTTGAACTGTGCAGCGGTCACAGGCGCAGTTGTCTCAAAAAAAAAAGAAGAAAAAAAAGAAAAGCCCCATGGTCGGGCCACGGCCGAGATGTCTCGGCCACACCCCAGATTGGCCACGGCTGAGATGTCTCAGTCACACCCCAGATTGGCCACGACCGAGATTTTAGGGGGGGGGGCGTGGAAAAAAAAAAAAAATGCGGCGCGAACGACCGAAAAAACAAACAAACAAACAAACAAACAAACAAACAAACAAACAAACAAAAAAACAAACAAACAAAAAAACGGCCACCTGCGTGACTGAACTGCAGTTCCAAACCCCGCGGTGCGACTTTTCTACAAAGCGGAGTTTCAACTTCATAGTAAACTTCCGACGGGACTGGAATTAAAAAACACAGTTTGAAATGCATTTAGAAACTGCTTTCGTGACTGCGCCCTAGTTACCCCCTTTTTTTTTGTTTTTGTTTTCATTTTTTCCCCGGTCGTCCAACTGCGACCGGGTGTTGATCGGGGACCGCGCCGTATTAACCGGCGTGGATTTGGTTTTCATGTACGGAAATGTACTGCTGGTTTAATCCCTCCTGTTGGAAGTAATCAATGCTGTCAGAGGTGAGGGGGGTTGCAAGGCAAACTTTTCCATTGTATCATGTGGGACGGTGGACCCAGTTTCCAGCATTGCTCTTAAATAGGAGCCACCAAAGATTGCAGACTCCAAACCCGGGGGTTCTCTTACCACCACCCCAATAGTTGTCTGCCACTGAAGATGTTTCACGGGGAAAAAAAAACAAAACACTTATCTTTGAATCTGCTAGAATCTCGGGTGATGCCAATGCTGATAGAAAATAAAGAAAAGGAAAAGAAGGAGAAAGAAATTTGGGCCAATCTCCCACTGTCCATGTTTCTTCCTTTCTTCCCAATTGGTCTTTGTAATCTCAACACTCTTTAAAAAAATGGTGTCTTATAACTTTTATTTTGTGTGTGAGAGCCTGTTTCCACAACTCATCAAATGCGAAAATGGGAAGTGTTCCCCCCAACCCCCCCCAAAAAAAGGCAAAGTGTTGAAACCACCAGTACTTGGCCCAGCTATGCAGGCCGACCCTTGGGTGACCTGTACGCCGAGCCGAGCTTGTTCGTACCAGTTGCAGGACTGCCCGAGCCTGGGCGAACAAGTAGCATAATAAAAAAAGAAACAAAGAATGCAGTTGGATACATTCTCCCAAGTGGTGGTGTGAGCATGCCCTTAGTGAGGGCGTATCAGCCCCCTTTCCTTGTTGTCAGAAAATAAAAAAGAAAAGAAAAGAATGGTCCCCTTGTTGTCAGAATCTACAAAAGAAAAGAAGACAAAAAAGAGGAAACACGCCTTTGGCCCTGATATTGGTTGGATACATTCTTCAATGCCCCAGTGTGAGTATGCCCTGAATGAGGGCGTTAGAGCAGATCACGGAACACGCCACATTCTTCAATGTCCCAGTGTGAGTATGCCCTCAATGAGGGTGTTAGTATGCCCTCAATGAGGGTGTTAGAGCAGATTGCGGAACAAGCCCTTTTTTTTTTTTTTTTTTTTTTTTCAAGGCTAATTCTTTAGCCCAACCAATTCAATTACCTGTCAAATCTGGACAGGACGACCTTTCAGGCCTTTTTTAATGTCATTATAGTATTACAGGGCCACATCCGTGCTCAAGCCTCCAACGAGGGAACATTCGGGAGCCGCACCCACCAGCAGGTGCGATACCTGCTACAGCAGGTGGGCGAGACCAGCCAGGGGTCAGCCGGTAGCATCAGGACAGAGCTTCTTCAATGGGCCAGTCACTCTGCATCCCCCCCTGTCCCCTCCCCCTATGAACATCAGCAGTCTCTGCGCAATGCCACTCGGGGGGACCAGCGGCATATCAGTGGGTGGTGGGGGCCAAGCATGCCCAGGAAGGTACATGAGGCCAATGGGGATTGAACCCAAGGGGCTCGTTCGACACTCCTCGGGCCGTCCTCGGGCCCCGAGGACGATTCCGTGGAGTCGCCCGAGGAAATTCCCGCCTTCGTTCCACTCATCCTCGGAGTCGTCCCCCGAGGTCGATTCCTCGGGGCTCCCGCGACCAGATTTACATATCCACAAGCGGATGCGGGGGGGCGGGCGAGGGTGGTCCAGCGAGTTGTGTCCGTGCGGACGGCGTTGGTCCACCTCTGTTGGTCGTCGTGAATTCGAATCACGGGGGGAAACCAAAAACAAAAAAAAAAAATACAAAAAAAGGTCCATTGGAAATGGCGCGCACGGCCACAGTTCAAAATTCAAAATTCGAAATCTTGCTCTGCGATTGGCAGCGTGTGATGGACATACGTTTCACACCCGATTGCATCAGCGTCTGGCGTTCGCATAAGTGACGATGGTGGCTGGCGGTTGTCGTCGAAGAGTATGCAGGTCTATGCTTGCGCACAACCGGAGACGACATCGACTTCTCACCATCGTCGCGGGCACACGACCGTCGTCAGTGCGTGGTGTCCAAGGTTGTCTGCAGAGGCGGCGCTGTGTTCTTCCACGTGGCGGCGTTTGTGCAGTCCTGTGTGGTTATTGACGTGATGTCCTTGGAAGCGGTGTCGGGGATGAATATTGACGGCGAGGTCGGGCGTGACGGTCTGACGACGGCAGAGAGGACGATTGTCGCTGCGGTGGTGAATGTCGTCCTTTTCCGTTGTCAAATGGCGAGCAGCGAGGGGAAGTTCAAAGCGGCCATTCGTGCACGCTGCAAGTTGTCGGCGCTGCCGACGAGTGGCCAGTGCTTGGACGTCGGTGCCATTTCCGACGCGGTGCTGCAGGTCTGCTACGCGATGGGGTGCGGCGCGTTTCCACGGGCGACTCCAAGGTGGTGGATGAAGCGGCGGACGGGAGGTACGTGGGAGTATCTGCGGCAATGTGATGATGCGACAGATGAATACTTCAAGGACAAGCTTCGAATGTCGCCGCGTGCTTCCGCGAGATCGCGGAGACTCTTTCCTCACTCCTGCAACGCCGTGTGACGTTCTACAGGGTGCCCTTGCAGCTGTACCACATCATCGCCTAAGCTCTGTATAGGTGGGCGACAGGGGAGACATACGACAGAGGGACGTGTAGCTTCAGTACTGGCAGGTCTTTCGGCATCACGGCGGTGCGAGACGTCACTGCGGCATTGCTTACTGTGTACCCCGATAAGATATCCTGGCCCACAAGTTTGCAGAAGGCGGTCGTCTTGCGCGCGTTCGCTGACAAGGGTTTTCCAAACTGCCATGGGTGCCGCATCGACTGCACCCACATCTACATCGACAAGCCCGCCGACGCCAACGGGGAGGACTACTGTGACAGGAAACGTCGATTCTCCGTGCAGGCGCAGGTGGTCGTCGACATGAACTTGCATGTGCTGGACGTCTTCGTCGGTTACCCGGGCAATGTGCATGACATGAGGATGCTGAACCTATCCAGTTTGTGGGCGCACGCGGAGGATGGACAACTTTTCACTGGGCCGCCTGTGATGCTGTCTTTCCGTGTGCGGACTAATGGCTACTTGCTCGACGATAACGGTTATCCCCAGTCCGAATGGATAGTCGTCCCTTACGACGGTCTTGCGCAACACCCGACGGAGGCACGCTTCGACAACAAACAAAAGACGGCCAGGGGAGCAGTGGAGAGGGCGTTTGGCAGACTGAAGGGGATGTGGAGGTTGTTCCTCCGCACCCACAAGTGCAACATAGAGACCTTGCCGCAACAATTTGTCGCCGTCTGCATCCTCCACAACATACTCATCGACGCAGGCGTCCCGTTGGACGACAATCTGTTGTGGGAGGTGGGTCCGGACGGCCTGTGTCGTAGAGTCGATCTTGGGATGCATCAGCCACTGAGGCCGGTGTGCATGGAGTCATCAACGGGGGATGCGCTGATATTGAGGGACGCGCTGGCGGAACGGATGAGTGCGCAGTGAGGATGGCCGTGCGTGCAGGTGGAGACCCCGCTGTGACCGTAATAATGCGGAAGAACGGAGCTCTGTGAAGCGGGGAAGCATCGAAGGGATCCTGCGACGGGAAGGAAGGGGAGGTTCGCTTCCCACATCAACTGGCCATTCTGTCTCTTCACGATGATGATGCCCTCAAGTCTGCTGCCGTCGGAATGTGCTGTATTAATGTCGTCAACCGAAGTGTGCCATCCCGGTGTAATCCACGTCGCCATCTGTCAGGGGGTGATCTTCCGTTTTGTGGCGTAGTAGTCGACCCGTGGTAGCGTCGTTCTGGTGAGAAGTGCATGAGGCGTCTCCCGCGGGCAGTGCGCGTGTCTTCGTGTGTGTGGTGACTAGTTTTGTTTTTCGTGGCCCGTTTTATTTTTTTGTTTCACTTGTTCTATGTCGAACACTGGGTGCGGTTACACAAAGTGTTGCGTGCGGTATTTTAATCGCTGGTTGTGTATGTCGTCGTTGGCGGAGTCCGCATGGCGCGGTTGGACGTGCCTTTCAGCGAGATACTGATTGTGGTGACGTTGCACGACGGCTACAATTATGTCGATCGGGGGGGGGGGGGGGAACATCCATCTGGTTGCGAAATGGAAATGCGTTTGCCTTGAAAGGCTTTTCCCCTTTTGACGACAGAGTGTCCTTTGCTTATCTTGGTGTGAGCAGAATTGCGTTCCTTCATCTTTTCTTTCGTTTTTGTGTTTGCGGGAACTCAGATTGCATGCGTTTGCAATGGTGCGCCACAGTTGTTTTGTCCGTGGTTCGGAAGAATGTCTATCACTTTGTCTGCATCGACCTTTGCCATTCCCAATTTTTTGCATTTCCAATCCCCGCTCGCATTACAATCAGTTCCTGGGATGATGGAAAGGAAGACGAATGCATGGATTGGATGTTTGATAACTAGAAAGATGAAAACATAGTTGGATTCTTCAATTTCTCGCCATCAACAATCAGCATTRAATATGARAACAAAGCAMCCCCGCCTCAAATACGCTTTATAAAAACTGAAGGATTGATTGAAAACAAAAACAATGCATGGCTGTGAAGATCATCAAGATCAGTAATCGGAAGGACGTTCGGTTTACAGCATTGCACATCTGTTTGTCCGGTCGATAGACAAAACATTAAGATGGCAAGACCCAATAAATGAAGAGAAGAAAAAAAAAAATAAAAAAAATCGCGGAGAACTACACAGTAATACACAACAATGGTTGAACGACGAGCGGGCCCACGGAAATGCAGCTGCCGCCGCCCATTATACCTGCCTACTTATCTACTCCTGCCCCGAACGCAACCACCCACGCTGCCACAAACCCCCGTCTCCCCCATAAGCCCTTTCAGTACCCACCCCATGCCCCTTCTTTGCTTCGACGCCGTGGTACGTTCCCGAGGATACACATGTGGAAGACAAGCAACAGGAGCAGCAACAGGACAACCAGGAGCAGCAGCGGCAGCCTGCGGAACACGTCAGCCATGAAACAGTAGACGACGACGGCAGCAGACAAAAGACAACGCGGGCGCCAACATAACAGTGAAGTTCACTGCTGCAAACGGCCGTTCCAACAAACGGAAGGTGTCGTCTTCGGTCACGAACGGCAGTGCGTCATTCAGAGAGACTGTGCCGCCTGAAATATTTGTATCTGCCGACCGTTGGGAGAATTCCCGCGGCGTGCCAAACGAGACGACGCGAGACGACACCTTCTGGACGTCGGGGATGCCGGTAGGCCTCAAACGGTAACCGTTGGGGATGAACTCCGTGAAGCCGAACGTTGGCGACCCAACATGTCCGTGTAGACGCAGGCAGGACCACCGATGGACCAGACGGGATAGAAAAATGTCGTCGAGGGAGCTGCCGTCGACGCCCCGATTCTTCCGGATGCTCGACCTCCAAGGGACCTCGGGAGGTCCCTTGGGGAAATCGCCAAAATGGCTGTAGCCCCGAGGAATCCCCGAGGAATCCCTGAGGAAATGTTTTCACGTTTTCTTTTCCGAATCTTCCCCGAGGATGAGTGGAACGACTATTTCCTTGGGGAATTTCGGGCCCCGAGGAGTGTCGAACGAGCCCCCAAGACCTCCTGAATGCGACTTGCTTGCCTTACCAACTGAGCTAGGCTGAACACGCCCTGCCTCGCTGGCAGGGGACTAAAAGAAAACGAAACCAAGAAAAAAAAAAAAAGAAAAAACAAACCGAGAATATCACCAGTTTCAGTACAAAGATTCATTTGGTACTCTGCCAGCGTGTGCATGGCCTCTCAGGGCATACTCACACGGGGACCAAAAGTCTCAAAAATTTGAGCTATTTGGTTTGTTTTTTTTTGAGGCATTTGGTCCCCGTGTGGTCAGGGTTGGACCTCGTCCAGAAAGGACGAAGTGGCGACCCTGACAATTTGCACTCAGGGCAAGTGCGCCAGGTCACACGGGGGAGGACCAAACGAAAAGATGGATTTTTTTTTTTTTTTTTTTTTTTCACGCTAGTATAAAGTGTGGGCCTTCGCTACAACGTAAATGTTTCTGGTCGCACTTTCAGTTGTTTGCCGGGCTGTCTTCTTCCTATAGGATTCTCTTCAATTCGCGAACATTAAAAAAAAAAGACGAAAGGTAATTTGAGGTGGTCTCAAAAAGGGTCCTCCCGCGGCCCCGCAGACTGCTAAGGGCATACTCACACGAGGACCAAAAGACCCTAAATCCCAAAATTTGAGTCAGTTTTCGGGTCACACTGGAGAGGCCTGCTACCCAAATGCCTCAAATGGTCACCCTGTTGTCAGCGGCCTGCAGGGCCGCGGGAGGACCCTTTTTGAGACCACCTCCAGAGGTGGTCTCAAGTT